ACCTTATCCTCAGGTTCCTTCTCTTCAATTTCAATTGCAGAAGTTTCCTTGTTTCCATGTGCTGCATCCTCCTCTCCTGAGGGCTTCTCATCATTCAGATTTTTCTCACCTTCATTGACAACTTCCTCAGTAACTCTAGAAAGAAACCATGTTAGAAGGACCACAGTATTAGATGGGAAGAAGCATATGCCGTTGTATTGATTAAGGCCTTACTGCCAAAGGCACCAAGGAAATACTCACTCAGCCAGTTCATCAGTCTGAGCTCCCCAATTACCTCTGCCAGATCCTTCACGTTTTATCTCATTTCTGCAATGGAATGAGTTTACAACAGAATATAAAAGTCTAAGGCTGCAGAGACAAAAAAGATAATAAGTTAACAAAAAAAATATAGCATGTATACCCCTGCCCAGAGCCACTACGGCGATCAAAGACCTGACGCCGCCTTTCCTGTTCACCTTCCCCCACTTCTCCATTGCTGAAGCCACCTCGGCGACCACCTCCATAAGGACCACGAGGTCCACCATAGCCACTACGCCTTTCAAAAGGCTTTCTGGAATCGGCTTCTCCAGATGCACCTTGACCACCTGAAATTTCCATATTTCCATACGAATTCTCGTTGTTGGTTGAGTCTCTATCGTAACCACGGCCACGAGTATGCCCGCGCCCATATCCTCGTCCACCACGGCCTCCTCGTGCAGAGTCAAATTTTGCTTCTCTGACTACTCAAATAAACAAACACAAAAATGAAGGAATCAACATTAAAATATCAAAAAGTGATGATATGAACCTAAATAAAGTGTTGATGGGTAGGCAACATAAAAAACCCATTTTGCTACAATTTGGAAAAATTATAATAAAAAGGTTGTTTCAAGATATAACTAACTAAATTTTATAAAGCAAGAACTAATAAAGTAGTGTGAACATAACCATGAACAAATAAGCTGGGAGAAACAGCAAAGCTATGGCATGAGTAAGCATATCAAGCCTTCTCCAAATAAGGTTAACAATAAAAACAAAGTACGAATTTTTTACTATCATTGAAACTTGACGCATCAAACTCTTACCATTGGGTATAGTGCTTACAATCAGTAAACACGATATATGTTGCAAGAATACATGGTCAGTGCAGATATTCCGAGAGCAATATGTTGAAAGGGTTAAACATCTCATGTATTGACAGTATTTTGTTTCATTTCCACAAAATGGCATGACAAGGAAACCCAACAAAAGGAGATGATAGATAAGGAAATGGTACGTGATGTCTGAAAGGTAAATCTCAATTACAATATTCAGAAAGTGACAATTCTTACACACATAAATTGTTGAAGCTTATGATCCTCTTCATTATTTACTTGATGGCTTGACAAAGCCCAAAGCAGAGAGTCAAAAAGAAATATTTTCTGTGGCCGAGAGTACATATAATGTAGGGTGAAATCCATATGAGACAAAATATCTCTGCAAACTTTACCAAACGTGCTATTTTGTCTATACATGGAAAAAAAATAAACGTTCTGTAGCACATTATAAGCCCAAATTTTTCCAGTCATCCACAAGGGATATGGAAATAATATCAGTAACAACAAATTATGGCTAAATATAGTAACTCAAACACAGAATAAATAATGTTGGATAGTAGCAATCTTGAATTGGATAACAAGATAGCTGCTGCGCAAAACAGATCTAAAACTTTAATAATTGATTACAAATGCAGGGAAAATGCTACTATAAAGCAATATCATTGTCATAAAAAAATTCATTTAACACAGTTAATAATCTTCAAATAAGAAAGTCTACATAGCTCTCAAATAGAACAATATTGGAGAATATTTGCAGAAATTTATAGGAAAACAATTTTAGCACTAAGAATATTTTTACATACATGTTAGTGTGTGCGCATATATATATATATAGAGAGAGAGAGAGAGAGAGAGAGAGAGAAATGATCTAATAGGTAACGGTGTTTAGCTTATGTTAAGCACCGGCGATATGTCACACCAATTAATTGTGAATCATTAAATTCATGGGGGCCTACAATTAACATATTCACTAATAAATCTGTGTGTCATGTCACGGGTGCTTAACTCCGGTGCCATATATATACAGAAATGATCTCCTAAACTAGTGCTTAGCTTATGTTTCACCAATTAAACGGTGTTCCATGTCACTTGTGCTTAACATAAGCTAAGCAAAGGTCCACTATATATGTGTGTGTGTGTATATATATATCATAAAAATCCATGTCCATACAACAGAAACAGGAAATCAGATATTTACACATTAATCAAAATCTTTGAATTTTTTCATTCTTTTTAAATGATAAATAAGATGAAAAAAACGAAAAAAGGCAGAAGGAAGAAAGGAGCTCAACATACCAGCCTGAGCCGGGGGAAGAGGCTTTGAGGGAAGCTTAGCATTCGCCGCATCAGCCGCTGGCTTAGTTTGCGGCTGATGCTTTGGCGCGGCCGAGGGAGTTAGGGCTTTCTTCGGCTCGATTTTTTGCATAAGCTGCGACATGTCCTCCGTATCATCGTCTCCCAACAAATCAAATGGGTTCGCTGTCGCCATTTTTCAGCCACCAGAAGAAAAACCCAAAGGCTTTTCAGATATATCAGAAACAGAAATCCTTAATTGAACTCTTCATTCATGGTTATATGATAAATAAAACAGATCTATGTTAAAGGCATAAAGGAATAGCAGTTTGGTGAAACCCTAGCCGCAATGAACAGAACAATGCGCAGACAAGAAAACGGGGGTTTATCAGGAAATCCCTTATTTATAGTTGTGTGTTTGTTTGCCGGTCTCTTGAGATTCTTTTAATAGTTGTACCACGTAAACTCCTCAAAAAAAAATAATAATAATAATAATTAATTTTTACTGAATTTTAATTAAAATATATGAAATGTGTAATTAAAAGTTGATGATTACGATCCAATTAAAGATGTAGTTGAAAATATGTTTGAGGGTAAATAAATTTTAGAAATAGAGATCAAATAGAGGTTAAATATGTGAAATGAAAACTACACCTCGTGTATCGAAATAATAAGGCCTTGTTTGGTTTAGCTAAAATCAGATTGGTAGTATATTTTGATAAAAATTAATAAATTGTGTAATTGAGAAATTAATAAAAGTTTTGAATCTCATGAAATATGTACTGAAAAATAATTTATTGTTATTATTATTTTTTAATTTTAGAAAAATGAGTTCTATTAAATGGAGTCCAAAAGTGGGCAAAATGAACTTAAAAATCTATATATAATTTAACTTTCGTTAATCAAAACTAATGGCATAATTTAGAATAATGCTCCTCGTCCTGGGATTAAATCCCGAGTTTGGAGATAGGGGCCAATGTGGCGTGACCTCGGCCCCTGATTAGAAATCGCGGGCCCCATGTGCTGCAAGATCAAAGGCCGAGGTCACACCACCTTGACTTTGGATCTGAACTCGGGATTAAATCTCGAATTATGTAGCAAGTTCGAATAATTTACGTGACAATATCTACGTGGTGTTTGACTAGTTAATTACACAAATAGTATAGTTAAGGACATCTCTAACNTAGCCGATGGCACGACTCAGAGAACTCAAAGGCATTCTCAAAGACAAAGCTTCACTGTTTAAAGCAAATCTCTCAACTAATCGCCCTATGTCCTTTGTAAACGTCACCGTCCTCCGCGCCACCACACACAGCACCACCTCTCCGCCGTCGGAGCACCGCCTCATCGCCGTCCTCTCCCTCGGCCACCGATCAAGCATCATGGCAGATGCCTGCACTGAGTCTATCATGAATCGCCTCCATAGAACACACAGTCCTTATGTTGCTCTCAAATGCCTTATAATTATTCACAACATCATTTCTAAGGGATCCATCATCCTCAAAAACCAGCTTCCCTCTGCAGGTGGCTATAATTTTCTTCATCTTTCCGAATTCGATTATAAGTCCAATGTCGAAAAACGAGAGATTAGCCTGTGGGTTCGATGGTATGCAGGTTTCTTGGAACTTAACTTAATGGCAAGTAGGGTTCTGGGTTACTTTTCTTCTTCTTCTTCTCCTGCTGCTTCTTTCCCATCTGTATTTTTTGACAGAAAAAAAGATTTGTTGAAGGAAATGAATGCTTTAGTGGGATTTATTGAAGGGATTTGTGAAGTCCCAGATTCTTTACACCTTCAAAGAAATGATTTACTGTATGAACTGATGATTCTGGTGGGAGAAGATTATCGAGCGGCTCAGTACCAAATCATTTCAAGACTCAGTAATGACACAGCCTTCGCTGATCAAATCTCGAGGTTGAGCTCAACAGACTCGTCCGAGTTGATTGATTGTTTGAAGAGATTGGAGAACTGCAAGAAGAGATTAACAGAGATATTTGTCAATAGGAAACGATACGATGCATTTTGGGAGTTGATTAATGAAAGAAAAATGGAGCTTGAGGAGATGAATGGAAACAGAGGAAGATTGCTAGTATGGAAGGAAAGGGAAGGGATGACGAGTTAATTGAGTCAACTCGGTTTGTTTAACGAGTCTCATTTTTTCTTCTACACATAATAATTTTTAATTAATATTTTGGTAGCTATGTTTGTATTTTTATTTCAACTTTTGCAGCTGTTCATGTACGGATAATCCTTCCACTTGGAAAATATACGATTGGCGCCGTTGATAGCCATTACTTGCTAAAAATAAAATTTTGAATAGTTGTTTTTTGAATAATGTATTTTAAAAGATAGGAAAATTTTGGATTTAATTGTAAAATATTTTATTATGTAAATATATTATTGAAAATAATTATATAAAATAAAAAGTTTTAAAATAATAATTAGCTAAGCTAGCTATGTTTGATAGAAATTAAATAATGAAAAATATACATATAAAAATTCAGATTTTAATATAAGTCAAAATCAAACACTAATTTTAATTATGAAATTCATAATTTTCCAATCATATATTTCATCAATTTTTT